TTGTTAAAATAAACATCCACTCTAGGGGCAGACAGGACCTTCTCTCCCCTCCGGCCACTGTCCACCACAGACATTCCCGGAGCTGCCCCTTCAGGCCAGGGGGAGCCAAGGCCTGAGAGGGTGGGGGCTTATTTCTGGGTAAAACACGCTGGATTCAGCTGGAGGAAGCAGACACCATTCGGCACGATTTATAACGTTCCCCAAACCCTGAGCCTGGTGGCAGAGCTGGGAAGCCGGGGACACGGCAGCACACGCCAAGCACTGCCCGGACTGGGGGAGCCCGCAGCAGGAGGGGTCCCTCCCGCAGGGGCCTGCTCCGGGAAGCCGTGTGCAACCTGGGGCCCCAAGCACCAGCTACCTTCCTCATGATCTTCCGGCCGTAAAACATCACTTTGTCTCTCTTTCGGAACCGGTACTGAGGAGTGGGCTGCGCTTGTCCTGCAGGGGAATGAAGAGACGGCCTGAGGTAGAGCCGTGGCACAGGCCTGGTCCTGGACATGCAGGTGTGCACAGTCAGTACTCTCGTCCCCGCCAGTACCTGGCCATACTCAGACAGCACGAGGGAAGGGGGCCTGGGTAACAGGCTCGCCTCCGACAAAGGGGGCTCTCCCTTCTTCCCACTGAAGCCTTGCTCAGGAGAGGAGAACAGAAAGGGCTCTGAACAGACTTGGCTTCCTGGAACCGACGTGCTCAGCCTGAGCCCAGATGGGCCACTGGATTCTAGCCAAACCCACCGTGGACTTGAGGACCCCTCCCAGGGGCTCAAAACACATCCCAAGGCACCCACGCTTTCCCCCAACCCCCCAGGCCAGAGTCAGAACCAAGATACTCACGAAATTGGCTAAGCCTTCTGAACGTGAAAAGGATGAGAACACCAGCCAAGGCCAGGGCCAGGAGGGCTCCAACCGCAATCCCCGTCAGCTGGCCAAGAGTGGGGACATGGTGCCCATCAGCAAGGCCACAAAACTAACCCTAGCCCTAAGCCTGCCCCCACCCCAACCACAGGCTGGCAGGAATGAGCCAGGGGATGGGGGCAGGGAGAGGTGAAAAAGGCCACGGCCCATCCAGGTCTGGCCCCAGGGAAGCGTGAGGTGATTACCATGGTGGACGGTGAACCTTCTTCCGTGAACCACAGCCCCCAAGAGTGCAGAGCGGTGCCCAGGCAGAAGCCAGCCTGCAGCAGAGAGCATGGGGTCAGGCGGGCATGGACGGGCTTCCCAGCCCAGACTTGCTCAGAGCAGCAAGAGGGGAGCTGGGAGTTAGGAGAGAAGTCAGCAGCCCGGGAGACCCAGCAAGCAGTGATCTCGCCCGGGGTGCCGGGGTCCTCTGAGCCCCCCACTACGAAGCATTCAGAGGGCAATCTGGCTTCCTTGGTCACTGGGACACAGCGGGGCAGGGCCGTCACTCACACACCCTGGGGCGACACGATCCCTGGGATGCAGGTCTCAGGGAGCAGGCCCAGCCACAGGGGAGGCCAAGGCCCCCTCTCAGTGTCCCCTCAGCCCCAGCAGGAGCAGTGCTCGAAACCCCTATGAGCCATCTGCATTCTGAGAACATTTAACACCAGTTCACATGCCAGACAAGGAGGCAGCGGCGGCCGAGAGGGAGGCTGAGAAGGCTCTGTGTGCTGCCATCTCCTGGAGCAGCCGGACTTCAGAAGTCCAGGTCCGCGGGAGCGAGGGAAGAGAGGGTGAGGACAGGATGCTGAGTGAGCGACAGCAGAGGACGCTGGTGGCTCCCCAAGAAGTGAAAGAGAAAACAAGAAGACACCAGCCAGACAAGGCAGCCCTCTCCATTCCTGCTGGCATCACATCTTCCTCCCAGGCAGCCAGGAACTGGATAGGGCAGGGGAGGCCACTGGTTCAGCCTGCAAGTTTCCACACAAGAGCTGAGGCCTAAAGCAGCACCCACCCCCATCTCCCGCTACAGAGAAGCAGGACTCCCATCCATGCCAGAAAATCCAGGGAAGGGCCGGGTGTGGTGGCTCACGCCTGCAATCCCAGCACTTTGGGAGGCCGAGGCGGGCGGATCACGAGTCAGGAGATCAAGACCATCCTGGCTGACACAGTGAAACCCCGTCTCTACTAAAAATTCAAAAATTAGCCGGGCGTGGTGGCGGGCGCCTGTAGTCCCAGCTATTCGGGAGGCTGAGGCAGGAGAATGGCTGGAACCCGGGAGGCGGAGCTTGCAGTGAGCCGAGATTGTGCCACTGCACTCCAGCCTGGGCGACAGAGCGAGACTCCGTCTCAAAAAAAAAAAAGAAAAATAAAAAAAGAAAATCCAGGGAAGTCGGAAGAGCACTCAAACACATTTCAAAGACACAATTCTGCACCAAGACTGAATGAGGATGTGCCCAGAAAGCTGAGCCCTTTTGAACTTGGTTCAGAAGGCAAATACAAGCCCTGGGAGCTTCTGCTTCAGGACAGGGGCACCCCTACGCTCACTCTCAATCAGTGGGGTGCACAGAAGCACCTACGACCATGTCCTTCACTTAAGGAAGCGAAGTGAGTCCCTCTGAGCCCAGCAACCGCTTCTGGGACAGATTATCCAAGGAAGGCCTATCATGCAATGGCCCATGACCTGGTCACACGCTCTCCTGCAGTGGAGTAGCTCAGCCTTTTCTAGCTTTTCACTGTTGCTTTAATGGGTCCAGTTTTCTGGTTTAGGAAAAAAGGCCTTTGTGATGTGGCTACAGATGTTTGACTAAGAAAAAGATTCTAAGGCCCGGCACAGTGGCCCACAGCTGTAATCCCAGCACTTTGGGAGGCCTAGGCAGGCAGATCACGAGGTCAAGAGTTCGAGACCAGCCTGGCCAGCATGGTGAAACCTGGTCTCTACTAAGAATACAAAAATTAGCTGGGTGTGGTGGTGCTTGCCTGTAGTCCCAGCTACTGGGGAGGCTGAGGCAGGAGAATCACTTGAACCCAGGAGGCGGAGGCCGCAGTGAGCCAAGATCACACCATTGCACTCCAGCCTGTGTGACAGAGCAAGACTTCGTCTTGGGGAAAAAATAAAAAAGAAAGAAAAAGATTCTAAGCAAAATCATCAGGCAAAGTCCTAAGGGAAAACTGGAAGTAGCAATTGTGACCTTAGGGGAAGAAAAGACAAGGCCTCAGGCAATGCCCATGGGCCACCGCTGGCTGTACCCCCCCAATTCCGTGAAAAGATGCCCATGGGACACCACTGGCTGTCCTCGCTGTGAACTCACGCGTCTAACACGTGCTGGCAGCTGTGACAGGCGGCAGAGAGGGGCCAGAACAACCACTCCCATAGTCCTCAGGCACCAAGAAGCCACGGGGCCAAAGAGCTCGGCAGAGCAGATGCCAAGAGGACCCTTCTCTGGGTCCAGAAATGCCCCCCAACTGGGAAGTCCAGGGATCTGGCCCCCTGAGTTACATACCTCTGGGCCGTCATCTTTCTCTTCCTCCATGGACAGAAACAGAAAAAACAGCCTGAGAAAATCAGACAGCCTGAGGCAAACAAGGGCACACCTCTACCCGCTCACGCTCACACCCCGACAGCTGTGGACTCAGACTTCTCCCTGGGTTCCTTTTCAAGTCAAATCACGTTTCACTGAAAGGAAAATCCTGCTGAAAAAGTCTGTTCTACAGGAAGAGCAGGTGTCTTTTGAGAAGCGTCTGTCGTCTGTTAGGAGCCACTTCCTTCCCTCTGTAAACAGCCCTCACGTGGCTGTCCTGGAACCCACAACAGCAGCCAGATGGGGCGGCTCCAAGCAGGTCAAGAGGAGCCAGGACCAGCGCGGCGGGGGTGGGGGCAGCGCTGCCTTCCGGAAAAGCACGGTTGGAGGGGAGGTGACGCTGGCGGGGCGTGGATCCGGGTTGTGGGCGTGCCGCAGGGGGGGCGTGGATCGGGGTGTGGGGGTGCCGCTGAGGGGGCGTGTATCGGGGTATGGGGGTGCCGCTGAGGGGGCATGTATCGGGGTGTGGGGGTGCCGCTGGGGAAGCGGGTGTAGCTGGGGAGGGGGTGGATCCGGGGTATGGGGGTGCCGCTGGGGAAAGAGTGCAGCTGGGGAGGGGGTGGATCCGGGGTGTGGGGGTGCCGCTGAGGGGCGTGTATCGGGGTATGGGGGTGCCGCTGGGGAGAGAGTGCAGCTGGGGAGGGGATGGATCTGGGGTGTGGGGTGCCGCTGGGGAAGCGGGTGTAGCTGGGGAGGGGGTGGATCCGGGGTGTGGGGGTGCCGCTGGGGAGGGGGTGCCGCTGGGGAGGGGGGTGCCGCTGGGGAGGGGGTGGATCCGGGGTGTGGGGGTGCCGCTGGGGAGGGGGTGGATCCGGGGTGTGGGGGTGCTGCTGGGGGGCGACTTCCGCGTGGGGTGAGAGGCCGCCTGCGAGGGTGACCGGGCCGGAGGGCTCAGCGCACAAGCCAGACGTGCTGGGTCCAAGATTATTAATTTGGGGACTGCGAGGGCTCGAGTCCTCCCACACCACTGCCCGGCCTGCGGGGAACCCAGACAGCCCCGGCCCTCCCGGCTACAGGTCCCGGGCTTTCCCTGCGCGGTTGCCGGCTCCGCTCAGAGGAGCGGCGCCCAGCGGAGGGGTCAGAAAGGCCGGGTCGCGGCGTCCGTCTCGGGTCCAGCGCCCGCGTCTTCCTCGACCTCCCGACGCCACCTCAGTGCCTCAGGGGGACTGGGCTCCCGGGACACCGCCGGCCACCAGGCGGACGAACACAGGCAGTGGCGGGCAGTGGGGACGCCAGAGACTACCTCGCTGAGGGCGGCCACTCATCCGCGCGCCGCGCCCCGCCCCGCGCGCCCCGCCCCGCGCGCCCCGCCCCGCGCGCCCCGCCCCGCGCGCCCCGACCCGCGCGCCCCGCCCCGCGCGCCCCGCCCCGCGCGCCCCGACCCGCCCCGACCCGCGCGCCCCGACCCGCCCCGACCCGCGCGCCCCGCCCCGACCCGCGCGCCCCTCCCATTGGCAGAGTCCCCGCGGCCACGCCCCCTCCCAGACTGAGGCCGTTATTGGACGCAGCGGCCGCGGCCAATCGGAGCCGCTCTTGCTGCGACGTGGCGGTCGGAAGCCGAGCGAGATCGAGGTCGGGTCGGCGCCGGAGCTGCTGAGGGGCAACTTGGAGCTGGTGCTGGGTCTCCGATCCAGGTGAGTCTGTCGGATTGGAGCGGGCGCCGCGCGCGGCCGGGGGCGGGGCTGGCCGGGTTCCCGGGGCCGCGACTACCCGCCGTCTCCTCCCGCAGGGCGCGGCATGGGCGTCCTGGCCGCAGCGGCGCGCTGCCTGGTCCGGGGCGCGGACCGGATGAGCCAGTGGACGAGCAAGCGGGGCCCGCGCAGCTTCAGGGGCCGCAAGGGCCGGGGCGCCAAGGGCATCGGCTTCCTCACCTCGGGCTGCAGATTCGTGCAGATCAAGGAGATGGTCCCGGAGTTCGTCGTCCCGGATCTGACCGGCTTCAAGCTCAAGCCCTACGTGAACTACCGCGCCCCTGAGGGCGAGGAGACGCCCCTGACGGCCGCGCAGCTGTTCAGCGAAGCTGTGGCGCCTCTCATCGTACAGGACTTCAAAGACGGTACCTTCGACCCCGACAACCTGGAAAAGTACGGCTTCGAGCCCACACAGGAGGGCAAGCTCTTCCAGCTGTACCCCAGGAACTTCCTGCGCTAGCGGGGCGGGGGGCTGCGAGGTGGAGGCATCCCCGGGGAGGGGCGGCCTGCCCTCATCTCGTTTCTATTAAAGGCCTTTGCCAGCTCGACGGTGTTTTTTTGGCCAATGGTCATGGCAAAGTGTGCAACATGACAGATTTCAGTGCAGGGACCTAAGCAGAGTTCTCATGCAGACTCCGCACTGTGACCCTCTTTGGAGAAAGAATTTACAAGGCAGATTGTGCCGGATGACAACACTGGTCAGTTCATCCCCCAAATTACCCAGGGAACAAAGGTACAGGAGATGGGGGTCTCACTCTGCTGCCCAGGCTGAGCACTCGTGGGCTCAAATGATCCGCCCGCCTCAGCCTCCCAAAATGCTGGGATTACAGGTGTGAGCCACTGCGCCCACCCCAGGAAAATTTCTTGTTGCAATCTGACATATATTGGCATGTTGTGTTGTATCATCAGAAAAGAAGAAAGGGATAAGGCCAGGCGCGGTGGCTCACGCCTGTAATCCCAGCACGTTGGGAGGCCGAGGAGGGAGGATCACAAGGTCAGGCGTTCAAGACCAGCCTGGCCAGCATGATGAAACCCCGTCTCTACTAAAAATACAAAAATTAGCCAGGCCTGGTGGCATGCACCTGTAGTCCCAGCTACTCAGAAGGCTGAGGCAGGAGAATCGCTTGAACCCAGGAGGTGGAAGTTGCAGTGAGTCAAGATCGTGCCACTGCACTCCAGCCTGGGCAACAGAGCGAGACTCCGTCTCAAAAAAAAAAGGGAAGGGATAAAACTGCATGTTTTTTACTTGTGGTCACCTATATGGCATTAGTAAATGCTGAGGATTTGACAAATTGTGGCCTGTACTTCAACCACAGTTCCTCCCAGAGAGACAAGAGCCCTCATGGCAGGAGTTGGATGTAACACACCCAGTTAGTTCACACACCTAAAGTCACCATCTGTCCAGTATTTGGGAGCTAACCCATGTGGATGCTGCAGTGATGACTGTTCCCTACAGACTTCACATATTTCAAGTTGGTGACCCCCAAGGCAACTCGGAACACACACTCCCTTTTATTTATCTGCACAGGGATCCAATACAGGTTGAGCATCATTATCCAAAATGCTTGGGGCTGGGCACCGTGGCTCACACCTGCAATCCCAGCACTTTGGGAGGCTGAGGCAGGTGGGTCATCTGAGGTCAGGAGCCTGGCCAACATGGTGAAACCCTGTCTCTAATAAAAATACAAAAATTAGCCAGGCATGTTGGCACAGGCCTGTAATCCCAGCTACTCCGGAGACTGAGGCAGGACAATCACTTGAACCTGGAAGGTGGAGGGCAGTGAGCCGAGATGGAACCACCGAGATTGAGCCACTGCACTCCAGCCTGGGTGACAGAGCAGGACTCTCTCAAAAAAAAAAAAAAAAAAAGGCATGGCTAATCCCAGCACTTTGGGCGGCAGAGGTGGGCAGATCACCTGAGGTCTGGAGTTTGAGACCAGCCTGACCAACACGGAGAAACCTTGTCTCTACTAAAAATATACAAAATTAGCTGGGCATGGTGGTGGATGTCTGTAATCCCAGCTACTCAGGAGGCTGAGGCTGGAGAATCGTTTGAACTCGGGAGGCAGAGGTCGCAGTGAGCAGAGATTGTGCCATTGCACTCCAGCCTGGGGAACAAGAGCAAAACTCCGTCTCGAAAAAAAAACAAAGCCTGGAACCAGAAATGTTTTGGATTTCAGTTTTCAGATTTTGGAATATTTGCATGTACATAATGAGATATCTTGGAGGTGAGATACAAGTCTAAACATGAAATTCAATTTTGTTTCATATACACCTTATACACATAGCCTGATGGTAGTTTTATACAATATGTATGTTTTTTAGGCTAGTCAAGTGAAGCTATGAGAGAAGGAACAAATCTGTAACTGGTTGTCATTGTTTACACAGTATTTTTATTATTTATTTATTTTTTAGAGATGTGTCTTGCTCTGTTGCCCCTCGCTCACTGCAGCCTCGACGTCCTGGGCCCAACAATCCTCCTGCCTCAGCCTCCCAAGTGGCTGGGGCCATAGGCACCGTGCACCACACCTGGCTAACTTTTTTTTTTTTATAGAGACTGGGTTTTGCTATGTTGCCCAGGCTGGTCTTGAACTCCAGGCCTCAAGCAACCCTCCTGCCTCAGCCCCTCCCAAAGTGTTGGGATTACAGGCCACTGTGCCTGTGCTCAGTATTTTTAATAATATATGCAACTCATCACATGAGTTCAGCTGTGGGATTTTCCAAAAGTTTTGGGATTTTGCATTTTTGGACTGGCTGTGCTAAATCTATACGAGCACTTCTGGTGCCATGATGAGGCATTAAATGTTCATTTAAAACATGTTATAAAGTCATGTTTTTCAAAAAACTTCATTTAATATAAATAGTTGCTTAAACAAGTATGAAAGGCTGAAAGTCAAAATCTACCTGAAAAACTTAACAAATCTGCAAGCTGGGAACTGAGTCTCTTCCCCACTGTCTGCCAGAGAGAATCACCCAGTCCATTTTCAGGGGCCTAGCAGGGAAGTTGATTTAAGAGAAGTCAACAGCTTTTCTGACTACACTGTGGATTCCATCAGTGCACAGGCGTCTGCAGGGCTGCAGTAAGCATCTCCGATGAGGTAGTCCCAGGCATTCACTCAGTCTCCCTCCTGGTTTCCTTATGGGAAGGAGCTTTGTGATTTCAAGCTCCGTTCCCCTCCCACTCCCAGAGGTGGAGCGCATGGTCATAGAAGGAGCAGGTGGCCAGGAGGCTGAAGGTCGAGTCTGCTTCTTCCGGGTTCACGCCACAGTCACGCGTGGTGGCTGCTGTAGCCTGCAGCCAGGTGCCGCTCTTCCTCATGCGCTCTGTGAGTGGCTTCATTCCACTCTGGGGTCTGGCATGGCCCGCCCCATCGCTATTCTCTGTGCATTCATGACAGGGTGTTGGCAACTCGCCTGCACCCTTCAGGTCTGCCGTCTTGGTTCCTAGGTTGCTAGGAAAGGACCACGAGGGGGCCCGCTGCAGAGAACGGAAGCGCAGCCAGGACCAGTCGGCTCCATACACCAGCGAGTTGGGCAATGTGTGGGATGCCAGGACCGTCGCCTCCTGCTTCTCCTCTGGAGTGAGAGATCAGACCCAGGAAACACAACATCACCCAGAGCCTCTCCCCAACTGTCATGCCTGACAGAACGACCACCAAGAACAGCCCCTCACAGGTCAGCACGTTTCCTGAGGAGCCGCCGTGTCATGCAAAGGAACCAGCAAGACCTGGGCAGATGCTGGAGAAGAAACAGACCGTCACCTTGCAGTGTACACACCTGCGTGCCTCCAAGAGAATCATCAGGCAGGGCTAAAGAACCACACTCAAAGGTGAGGAACACAGCAAAAGCCTGAGGGGGGAAAGACCTCGGTTAACACTTAAAACCAGAGGACAGGCCGGGCGCGGTGGCTCACGCCTGTAATCCCAGCACTTTGGGAGGCCGAGGCGGGCGGATCACAAGGTCAGGAGATCGAGACCACAGTGAAACCCCGTCTCTACTAAAAATACAAAAAATTAGCCGGGCGCGGTGGCGGGCGCCTGTAGTCCTAGCTACTCTGGAGGCTGAGGCAGGAGAATGGCGGGAACCCAGGAGGCGGAGCTTGCAGTGAGCCGAGATCGCGCCACTGCACTCCAGCCTGGGCAACAGCGTGAGACTCCGTCTCAAAAAAAAAAAAAAAAAAAAAAACAACAAAAAAACCAGAGGACAAAGGAGTTTTAGCCAGCTGCGAAGGAAGGGGATGTCTGAGGAACAGGCGGCATGTACAGCAGAGGTGAGGAAGTCCACGGCTCGCACGGGGAACCGCAAACAGGCGGCCGTGGCACTGTCAGTGAGTGACAGTGGGCTGGAGGGTCCCAAGCATGCAGGGCCCGGCACGCCCTGTTTCACAGTCTGCATTTTGGAAAGGAGCCGCTGACAAGGTTAAGTGAGCAGCTGCTTTAGAGAAGTTGCTATGGCAACTGTGAGGGCGGAGGACAGCCCTGGAAAGAGGCCAGGACCACCTCCCAGAGCGCACAGCAACAGACCCCACAGCAAGAGGGAATGACGAGGTGCGGCCAAACCCGAGGCGGTCTGGAGTCTAGCAGGCAAGGCCAGGGCTGGCAGGGGCGGTCGCGGAGAGCAACTGGAAGGTGAGCCAGGGGTTGCAAGGCTGGGTGGCCACTCAGGCTCTGAAAGGGCTGCCACTGCTACCTCTGAAGTCCAGGGACTGATGCCAGCAGTGACCGCAATCAGAACCAGAATAAGTGCTGAAGAAGAAGGGCTGAGGGCAGAACAGGATGGCACTGGATCACACAATATGCCGAGGATGTACAGGCCCGGCCCAGGGAGGCCCAACCCTGGGCCCAGGGCTTCAATTGGGCAGAGGTGGCTGCGAGGAGCAGCAAGATGCTGAACATTCGGAGACAGCCACAGGGGCCCTCGAGCAGCACGTGTGGGGCGCCCCCCAGGAGGGAGCCCCTGCGGAGGCCGTTACTTGTCCCCTGCAAGGTAGTGTCACAGGGCAGGCAGGACCTCTGCTAGTCTTTCATCCAGCAATCGCTCAACACGCCCACTCGGGCCAGCAGGACCTCTTCTACAGCTTAGGAAAAGGTAACAAGGCAGAGTCTAGGCCCTCGGAAAGCCACAGCCAGGGAAAAAGACTGCGAATGAGTGGACGGAAGACACCGTTGAGACCCCAAGAACAGGAGGCCCTTTCTGATTAGCCACAGGCCAACCTTTCCTCTTTTTATTTTCAAGACAAGATCTCACTCTGTCGCATAAGCTGGAGTGCAGTGGTGCGATCACAGGTCACTGCAGTCTTGACCTCCTGGGCTCTATCTTCCTGCCTCAGCCTCCTGAGTAGCTGCGACCATCATGCTCAGCTAGTTTTTTCTATCTTTTGTGGCCACGGAGTCTCACTACGTTGTCCAGGCTAGTCTTGAACTCCCGGGCACCAGCAATTCGCCACCCCCAGAGTGCTGTGACTGCAAGCGTGAGCCGCCGCGCCCGGCCAGTACAAATTGTTCTAAAATTGGGCCAGGCACGGTGGCTCACACCTGTAATCCCAGCACTTTGGGAAGCCAACGCGGGCAGTTATGAGGTCAAGAGATCGAGACCATCCTGGTCAACATGGTGAAACCCCATGTCTACTAAAAATGCAAAAATTAGCTAGGTGTGGTGGTGGGCGCCTGTAGTACCAGCTACTTGGGAGGCTGAGGCAGGAGAATCGCTTGAACCTAGGAGGTGGAGGTTACAGTGAGCCAAGATCGCACCACTGCACTCCAGCCTGGGTGAAAAAGTGAGACTCTGTCTCAAAAAAAATTTTTTTTAAATTAAAGATATAGTCTGGGTGCAGTGGCTCACGCCTGTAATTCCAGCACTTTGGGAAGCCAAGGCAGGTGGATCACCCAAGGGCAGGAGTTCGAGAGCAGCCTGGGAAACACGGTGAAACCCCATCTCTACTAAAAGCACAAAAATTAGCTGGGCGTGATGGCGCACGCCTATAGTCCCAGCTACACAGGAGCCTGAGGCAGGAGAATCCCTTGAACCTATGAGGTAGAGGTCGCAATAAACTGAGATCACCCCACTGCACTCCAGCCTGGATGACAGAGCGAGACTCTGTCTCAAAAAAATAAATAAAGTTATGAAAAAGGCCAGCCGGGCACAGTGGCTCACGCCTATAATCCTAGCACTTTGGGAGGCCGAGGTGGGTGGATCACCTGAGGTCAGGAGTTTAAGACCAGCCTGACCAACATGGTGAAACCCTGTCTCTACTAAAAAGTACAAAAATGGCCGGGCGCGGTGGCTCAAGCCTGTAATCCCAGCACTTTGGGAGGCCGAGACGGGTGGATCATGAGGTCAGGAGATCGAGACCATCCTGGCTAACACAGTGAAACCCCGTCTCTACTAAAAAATACAAAAAACTAGCCGGGCGAGGTGGTGGGTGCCTGTAGTCCCAGCTACTCGGGAGGCTGAGGCAGGAGAATGGCGTGAACCCGGGAGGCGGAGCTTGCAGTGAACCGAGATGCTGCCACTGCACTCCAGCCTGGGCGAAAGAGCAAGACTCTGTCTCAAAAAAAAAAAAAAATACAAAAAATTAGCCAGGCGTGGTGGTGGGCACCTGTAATCCCAGCTACTCGGGAGGCTGAGGCAGGAGAATCCCTCAAACCCGGGAGGCGGAGCTTGCAGTGAGCCAAGATTGTGCCATTGCACTCCAGCCTGGGTGACAGAGCAAGACTCCATCTCAAAAAAAAAAAGAAGAAAATCACCATTTTTCCATTATCATAATTTATTCAGGCAACAATTGCCTCTAAATTGGATAAAAGTCTGATAAGGGAGGCCGGGCGCGGTGGCTCAAGCCTGTAATCGTAGCACTTTGGGAGGCCGAGACGGGTGGATCACGAGGTCAGGAGATCGAGACCATCCTGGCGAACACCGTGAAACCCCGTCTCTACTAAAAAATACAAAAAACTAGCCGGGCGAGGTGGCGGGCGCCTGTAGTCCCAGCTACTCGGGAGGCTGAGGCAGGAGAATGGCGGGAACCCGGGAGGCGGAGCTTGCAGTGAGCTGAGATCCGGCCACTGCACTCCAGCCTGGGCTACAGAGCGAGACTCAGTCTCAAAAAAATAAAAAAAAAAAGTCTGATAAGGGAATTAGTGACACATGTTCAAAGATTCTCACCACAGATTACTGATTAATTACAAAGAGGAAAATAGTATCTCTTCAGTGAAGGGATCGGGGCAAACACCACCTTCACAAACTGACCAAATTTCACAAAAATGGGACAAAGGGGCATCACAGGCCCTTGATGTGAGGAACTAAGGAGGGCACAGCACCACTTTCACAGGTCCCTGGCAAAAATGCATGCCCCCTGGCCAAGATGGTGAAACCCCGTCTCTACTAAAAATACAAAAATTAGCCGGCGTGGCAGCGGGCGCCTGTGGTCCCAGCTACTCGGGAGGCTGAGGCAGGAGAATGACGTGAACCCCGGAGGCGGATCTTGCAGTGAGCCGAGATCTCGCCACTGCACTCCAGCCTGGGCGACAGAGTGAGACTCCCTCAAAAAAAAACACAAAAAACAGAAAACAGAGCACGATCCCTTACCAAAGACTCGCCTCAGACTCAGAGGCATGAACTGAAAGAGAATGAAAAAGATGCATCACGTCACACTGAAGTGACTTTACCGATGCCAGACAAAACTTTAAACCAAACAATGTTACTAGATTTAAGGGCAGACACTTTAGATTGATAAAAGGGTCACCACATCTGGAAGATACCAGAATTATAAACATACATAAAAGAGATCCCCAAAACACATGAAGTAAAAACTGATAGAAACAAGGCCAGAAATACATAATTCTACAGTTAGAGTTGGAGGTAACAATAGCTCAGTTTCTTTTTCTCTCTCTCTCTTTTTTTTTTTGATACGGAGTCTTGCTGTGTCGCCCAGGCTAGAGTGTAGTGGTGCGATCTTGGCTCACTGCAACCTCCACTTCCCAGGTTCACGCCAATCTCCTGCCTTAGCCTCTCAAGTAGCTGGGACTACAGGTGCCCGCCACCACGCCTGGCTAATTTTTTTTTTTTTTTTGAGACAGAGTCTTGCTCTTTCGCCCAGGCTGGAGTGCAGTGGTGTGATCTTGGTTCACTGCAACCTCTGCCTCCCAGGTTCACACCATTCTCCTGCTTCAGCCTCCTGAGTAGCTGGGATTACAGGTGCCCACCACCATGCCGGCTAATTTTTTGCATTTTTAGTAGAGACACGGTTTCACCATGTTAGCCAGGATGGTCTCGATCTCCTGACCTCGTGATCCGCCCAACTTGGCCTCCCAAAGTGCTGAGATTACAGGCATGAGCCACCGCGCCCGGCCACTAGCCCACTTTCAATATTGCCCAGACAGGATATCAGTAAGGAACCAGAAGATCTGAACAACATTATAAAGCCAAGACCTCACAGGCACCTACAGGGGCACTCCCCAGGAGAGACCACATTCTAGGCCACAAAACAAGTCTCAGTAAATTCAACAGGAATGCACAATGGAATAACATTAGAAACTGGTAACAGAAAGAAATGTGGGCACTTAAAAACATGTAAATTAAACAACACACTCATAAATAACCAATGATCAAAGAAAAAAGTCACATGGGAAATTAGAAAGTAAGTACCTTGAGATGAATGAAAATAAAAATACAACATACCAAAATGTATGGGTTGCAGCAAAAGCAGTGCTCAGAGGAAAATGTATCACCATTAATAAAGAAAAAGGCCGGGCGCGGTGGCTCAAGCCTGTAATCCCAGCACTTTGGGAGGCCGAGGCGGGTGGATCACGAGGTCAGGAGATCGAGACTATCCTGGCTAACATGGTGAAACCCCGTCTCTACTAAAAATACAAAAAAAAAAAAACTAGCCGGGCGTGGTGGCGGGCGCCTGTAGTCTCAGCTACTTGGGAGGCTGAGGCGGGAGAATGGCGTGAACCCGGGAGGCGGAGCTTGCAGTGAGCCGAGATCACGCCACTGCACTCCAGCCTGGGAGACACAGCGAGACTCCATCTCAAAAAAAAAAAAAAAAAAAAGAAAAAAGACTTTAAATTGTTTTAAGACGAGAAATATTATGGCTGGGCATGGTGGTCCCAGCTACTCAGGAGGCTGAGGTGGAAGGATGGTTTGAACCCAGGGACCGAGCGCAGTGGCTCATGCCTGTACTTTGGGAGGCCGAGGCAGGCAGATCACCTGAGGTCAGGAGTTCAAGACCAGCCTGGCCAATGTGGCGAAACCCCATCTCTACTAAAAATACAAAAATTAGCCAGGCGTGGTGGCAGGCCCCTGTAATCCCAGCTACACTGGAGGCTGAGGCAGGAGAATTGCTTGAAGCCAGGAAGCAGAGGTTGCAGTGAGCCGAGATCACACCACTGTACACCATCCTGGGTGACAGCAAGACTCCATCTCAAAACAAACAAACAAGAAAGAGATCTCAAATTGTTTTAATACAAGAAATATTACGGCTTCGCACTGGGGTCCCAGCTACTCGGGAGGCTGGGGTAGGAGGATGGTTTGAGCCCAGGAGGTTGAGGCTGCAGTGAGCTACAATCATACCACCACACTCCAGCCTGGGTGACAGAGCAAGACCCCATCTCAAAACAAAACAAAACAAAAAACGATGAGAAATATGAAGCACATTCACAGAACTAACAGAAACAATACAGAAGAGATGGAGAAACTAAAGATGCAGAAAACAGAAGAATATGGGCCAGGCGCAGTGGCTCACGCCTGTAATCCTGGCACTTTGGGAGGCCAAACTGGGCGGATCACAAGGTCAGGAGTTCCAGACGAGCCTGATCAACATGGTGAACCCCCTATCTCTACTAAAAATACAAAAATTAGCTGGGCGTGGTGGTGGGCGCCTGTAATCCCAGCTACTCAGGAGGCCGAGGCAGGAAAATTGCTTGAACCTGGGAGGCGAAGGTTGTGGTGAGCCGAGATCGTGCCACTGCACTCCAGCCTGGGTGACAGAGCCAGACTCCGTCTCAAAAAAAAGAGGAATACCATGTGGAAATCAAGTCAATCAAGTCCTTGAGTACAATCCAGTGCAGAGAAGGAACTGGCCTTGGGAACAGGTGCGGCTCACCCACTGCTGTAGAGAGCAGAGAGCGTGCGGATGGCCCGAGAGGCTGGTGGGCTTAATGGTGGGAAGATGAGGTGGTTTTGTGATTGCTCATTTTTGGAGTGAGGGGAGAGGAAAGAGCAAAAGAAGAGAGATCATGAGCTGAGAGTCAGGAGGGAAGAGGAGGTCCTGGAGATTTGAGGAGAGAGAAGAAAATGTGAACCAGTTCTGATGGTGGGGGATTACTGCCTAGAGAAACTACAGATCACCAGGAATCCCAGGGACCTACTGGAACACAACTCAGACAGCTGGTTCCAGCCACGCTCTCCGGCTCGGCCAGAAGCAGAGGTGCATGTTCCCAACAAAACAACACTGGGTTCTGCCCAAAGTGTGAGAAAGGGATGAAGGGAATGGAGTGTAGCTCACAGGGGCAGCAGACCACAGTCCCAGCTGACCTCAAGCAGGAGGAGCATGGGAGAGCACAGACAAGGATGGTTATGGGAGTGACGGTGGCCAAGCCTCCAAACCAGAGGTCCCAGTGGGGTCAGAGGTCTGCTGAAATGCAGGAGGCACCGGAATGACAGAGCTGGGAAACCAGGGAAAAGTGTGGTTAGAGAGCAGAGATTCTGGAGCTGGGATGGTTACGGATCACAACCAAGTCTAGGGCGTGACCCTGGGAGCGTGTAAAAGCTGAGGGAAGAGCTCAGCAGAGCGAGGGGGCAGGGAACTGGTGCCCTGCCCTGAGGCCCAGCAGCCACGGGTCCCCACTCACCCACTGCCTTTTGGCAGTTGAGGATCTTAAAGCCACTGTGCATACAGGCGGCCAGGAGCAGGTGGTGGTGGAACGGGTGCCACTTGATTCTCCATACCCCACCCTGCACAGGCGTGTCTGCCAACGGCTGCTTCATGTTCCGTGTGTCCCACAGTAGGATGTGCTCATCATAGCTGAAACCAACCAAACACGGAGGGCATGCAAGGAAAGCCCAGGCTCCCCTGTTCCACAAGGTCCCTGGGGGGCAGAGAACGTCTCCCAGAGACCTGTCCCACGCATCCCTCGAGGACAAAGTCCCGTTTCCCAAACCCCTATACCTACGCTCTGGCGAAGCACTGGCAGACGAAATGCTGCAATGGTGCCGGGAAGAAAGGCAGTGAAAGAGGCGAGAAGGGCCCGAGAGCCTCCCCGGGACTCACCTTCCTGTGGCCAGGACGTGCTCCCAGTGGGGGCTGCTCTGGATGCTGCACACGCCCATGGTGTGTCTGCAAGAGATGCAGCGCCTGAACCAGTGCCTAGGACACGGACGCACCCAGGGAACGGAGGGCCGGTGACCCAGGGAACGGGAGGGCTGGTGACCCAGGGAACGGGAGGGCTGGTGACCCAGGGAGCGGGAGGGCCGGTGACCCAGGGAGCGGGAGGGCCGGTGTGAGCACCGAGTGCTGGCTCTTGGGCAGTTACCTTTTGCTGGTGAAGAGGAATTTGCCGGGTACCCTGGTGTCCCAGCCCCTCAGAAGGCCATCGTCGCCCCCTGTGTGGAGACAGAGAAGTATCAACACCACCAATGAGAGGAAGTGACCGTTCTCAGCGAGGCTGAGGCCGTTGATGTCTGTGGGAAGTTCCCCTGGGTGACTTTGCTGGGGGGGGGGTCTTAGGTTGCCACCTCAACAGGAGGTCCCAGAAACAACCCCCAGGAATGTCACTGCTGTGCCTTGACTCTCTACAGACTGCAAGCAGCAAGGGAAAGACAGACGGTCTCTGCCTGCAGGAACAGAAGGGAGGAAATGGAAACTGAAGGGGCCCTGAAGGCCATCAGGTGCTGGCAACCATTGTTCACAGGGGACCATTGTTCACAGGGGCCGTTACCAGGCCCCAGGGGCTAAACTGCCTTTGCTAAGAGCTCCAGTGATTAAAGCCCTGGCTTCTAAGAACAAGAGTTGCAAGATCAGAGCCCTGAACAGAAACTGCACACAGGAGGCAGCAAGCAGGACTCCACACGGTGCACCTGATAGAAAGGTGCCCTCTGTCATCTTAAAGCACTTGTTTAGGGGAAATAAAAGGATGGGAGAACAGAGGAGTTGGTGCACGGAACCACAACCAATCTTCGAAGAAAAGCAACACAGACATGGGGTGAATGGTGGCACCTGAAGGAAGGGAAGCTCAGGAGCAGGGCCCACAGGGAGAGTGAACAGCAGAAGGAAAATGTCTAGGCCTGACCATATCACCCACCCCACATCATCCAGCTCCCACTACCCACCCACCTTCCATCCATCACACCATCTACCCACCCCCAAACCCATCCAAAAATCCACCATCCATCCACCCATGCACCCACTCACTCACTCATCCACTCACCATCCATCCATCCATCCATCTATCCACCCAGCTGCCCTCCCATTCCATTCAGCCGCCCACCATCCATCCACCAATCCACCATCCATCCACCATCCACCACCCACCACCCACCACCCACCATCCAAAAATGCATCCATCCACCCACCATCCATCCATCCAGCCGGCCAGCCAGCCACTCACCCACCATCCATCCACCCAACAATCCACCATCCACCCACCCACCACCCACCATCCAAAAGTCCATCCATCCAGCCGGCCAGCCAGCCACTCACCCACCATCCATCCATCCATCCATCCATCCACCCACCCACCACCCATCAAAGAGGTACTTGCTGAGCACACACTATGGACCCTCGTAATAGACACTAGGGATACACGGTGAACATGACCTACAGTTAAATGAACCAGCGGAATCAGCTGACCTAAGCATAAAGCCTGCAGATGAGCCTCAAGTATGAGCTGCCATTCTGTGGCAAATTTGTACAGAGCAGGCAAAGGCTTCTTTATACATGAGTCTCTCCACTCTCTCATGCCCACACATCCACTCCATCAGGAAATGTGACTGGACCTGCCTTCACTTCTGTCCAGAACCCAACCACGGGTCCTCACCTCCACTACTCCAAACCTGCTCTGGGCTGACTCATCACCTGCCCAGTGGCAAGTCTCTAGGCTGTGCCCCTCCCTCTTGTCGTCTAGACTCACATTCACCAAAGAGGTCGTCATAAACTTTAAAATGCAAGTCAGAATCTGTCATTCCTCTGCTCAACATCCTGCAACAGCTCCCATTTCGTTCTGAGTAGGAAACAAGGTCCTTGCTGGCGCCTGCCGGGCCCTGTGCCCTGGCCCATTTACCTCTGACTTCACCCTCTTCTATTCCGCCACTCCCTCAGGTCATCCTAACCGTGCTGGCTACTGGCTACTCTTCTGCCATAGCGGGGCCACTGCCCACCCTGACCATGCTCTCCAACAGGATAATCTGCACCTGCTCCCAGCACCCTTCTACCTTCTTTCCAAAGCGCTCACTGCCCCTGACGTGCCGCGCAGTCTCCTTCCCTATAACAAACTCTGCTTTGTGTTTACTGTCCGTCTCCCCGCCAGAGAATGTCAGCTGAGTAAAAGCAGGGACTTTTATGTGAAAATCAGCCAGGTGTGGCAACTCACACCTGTAGTCCCAGCTACTCAGAAGGCTGAGGCAGGACCCTGGGAGGTTAAGGCTGCAGTGACCTGTGATCACACCACTGCACTCCGGCCTGGGTGACACAGCAAGACGTGAGCCACCCACCCCATCCCCAAAATATATTTATATAAATCTTTTTTTTTTTTTTTTTTGAGACGGAGTCTCCCTCTGTCGCCAGGCTGGAGAGCAGTGGCGCGATCTTGGCTCACTGCAACCTGTGCCTCCTGGGTTCAAGCAATTCCACTGCCTCAGCCTCCCAAGTAGCTAGGATGACAGGCACCCGCCACCATGCCAGGCTCATTTTTTGTATTTCAGTAGAGACGGGGTTTCACCACGTTGGCCAGGCTGGTCTGGAACCCCTGACCTTGTGATCCGCCCACCCTGGCCTCCCAAAGTGCTGGGATTACAGGTGTGAGCCACCGTGCCCGGACTATATAAATAATTTAAGAAGGCCGAGCACAGTGGCTCACGCCTATAATCCCAACACTGGGAGGCCGAGGCAGGTAGATAGCTTGAGCCCAGGCATTCGAGACCAGCCTGGGCAACATCGCAAAACCCTGTCTCTGTAAAAAAATTTAATTAGTGGGGCATGGTGGTGTGCGCCTATAGCTGCAGCTACTAGGGAGGCTGAGGTGCGGGGGGGATCAATTGAGCCCAGGAGGTTGAGGTTGGAGTGAGCTGAGATTGCACCATTGTACTCCAGCCTGGGTGACAGAGTGAGACCCTGTCTCATAAAAATAAAATAGGCTGGGCGCAGTGGCTCATGCACATAATCCCAGCATTTGGGAGGCCAAAGCGGGTGAATCACCTGAGGTCAGGAGTTCAAGACCAGCCTGGCCAACATGGTGAAACCCCGTCTCTACTAAAAACACAAAAATTAGCTGGGCATGGTGGCAGGTGCCTGTAATCCCAACTACTCAGGAGGTTGAGGCAGGAGAGTCACTTGAACCCAGGAGGCGGAGGTTGCAGTGAGCCAAGATCGTACCACTGCACTCCAGCCTGGGCAACAAGAGCAAAACTCCATCTCAAAATAAATAAATAAATAAATAAATAAATAAATGAAAATAATAAAACTTAAAAAAGAAAACAGGACTTTTGTCTGTTTAGTTTGCTAAAGTATTCTAATCACCTAGAATAGGGCTCAGCACATAGCATTTGTTGAATGAATTAGTCCAGAATTATTCAATATTACCCTATGGTACCTTTGTTCTGAATTAGCTCGAGGTAGAAGAACCAATCCAAGGAGAGACCTCGAGAAATGAGATCTTCATGGCTCTCACAGTTCACGGCTGCGACAGCAAGCAACACAACGAAGAACCGCGCCTTACACACATGCTCGCCACTCGGATGAGCAGAGGCGGCACGAGAGCTGCGGTCAGGCCTGCCTGGGGTGGAAGGACGGCTGCTCTGCGTCAGTCTTCTAAGGACAAGATTTTAAGCTGAGCATGTCAGAAAAGCAGAATTCACCCATGAAGGAAACATCCCGTGACGAAACCCTGAGACTGAGGGAACGTGGACTATTTCAGGAGAAGGTGACTGAGAGCAGAGGAGCCAAAACAAGGCCGGAGAAGCAGGCGTGGACCAGATTCCACAGGCCTTGGGCAATAGCATCACTATTTTGAATTTTATGAAACAGGAACTAAATGAAACAGGAACTGTGAGGGGTTCTAACGATGAGTGAGATGTGATAACGTGTGTGCGTTTTTAAAACACTTGCTCTGACTACTGTGTGGAGACGGAAACAATCAGGAATGAAGGCAGGGCCATCACTTACGGCTCTGCTGTGACAAACTAGATGAGACAGAGGCCCGGATGGGTAGCGGCAGGGGAGAGTCAGATCTTCGACTCTTTGCAAATTCAGCAGCTCCTCTTCCGTCTTCTCTCAGAGACCAGCCCCTCCCACCTGTCCCGAGTTATCTCCACCCCGGAAAGAGAAGCCAAAGCTACCTCCTTCCTGGAATCAGCAGTTAATTTTCCACTCTCACATCAGCTGCCCCAAATGCAAACCATTCACAAGACCTGGAAAGGAATCTTATTTCTCTCATGCTTCCTTTTTTTTCTGGAAGATAAACTAAATCCAAAAAGGGCACAGACGAACCTGAAATCCAACGTGGTGATGTCACTATTGTATCCACAGAAACTGGACTTCCAGTAAAAGCACAGAGGATCTGACACGGAGCACATCAGGGAGGCAGGATGGCTCTGCCCACAGGGGCCTGCTCCTCCAACACCCTGGTCAGCACCACTCAAGACCCTGCACTGCCTGAGGCAAGCTACACTTTGCTCTCTAAAGAATAGCTAAGTGGGCCAGGCACGGTGGCTCACGCCTGTCATCCCAACACTTTGGGAGGCCCAGGAGGGAGGATCAGGAGGTCAGGAGATCGAGACCATCCTGACCGACATGGTGAAACCCTGTCTCTACTAAAAACTCAAAAATTAGCCGGGCATGGTGATGGGCGCCTGTAATCCCAGCTACTTGGGAGGCTGAGGCAGAAGAATTGCTTGAACCTGGGAGGTGGAGGTTGCAGTGAGCCAACATTGTGCCACTACACTCCAGCCTGGCGACAGAGCAAGACTCAGTCTCAAAAAAAAAAAAAAGTACACTTTCCATAAAAGGTCTTCAAGATCCCAACACAGCTGGAATCAGAGCTGCAGCACAGGCCTCCCCCCTCCCTCTGCCCCTCCCTCAGGAAGCCTTCCATCAGAGGTGACCAGCGGAGGAATACTGACCTGAATACACAATTTCTGTATGCCAGTAATCGAAAGCAGCAATCCAGGCCTCGAACTGATGTGCCTGCCATGAGGCCACCTTCTGCAGCTTGGGCCCCGTCTCATTCACCATCAGGAGGTGGAGCTGCCCTGTGGAGTCACTGCTGATGATCTTCAAGGGCTGGTCCCTGGCCCTAGACACAGGGAACCCATGGAGAAGCCCGGCCGAATGGTATTCGTCAGCCTCTTCTGGTTCCCAAACAAGTCCTGAGAGAGGGTCTCCACAGCCCTGGGATGTGGACACACCCCTTAAGAGACCGGCTGGCGAAGATCACAACCACTGCTAAGCTCGTCAAAGACACCAGTGTCGGCTTCTCTAGGTAAAACACTATTGCTACGTATCTAAAATGGGGAACTTTTTTTTTTTTAGAATAGGACCAGCAGTGATGGTGCCAGGGCTGAGGAGCACAGTCGCGGCTGGCCAAAGGTGGCTGGAGTGCTGTAGCCTCAAAAATGGAAGTGGTCCTCAGAGAAAGACTCAGGGCCCCTGACTAAGCCTGGCCCTTACCTTCCAGTTTTCCCAGTGGACCAATCTAGGGACAAAGCCAGACACTGCTCCTCCAGGGCAAGGCTGGACAATGGCTCCAGCACGTGGCTCTTCTCCTGGAGAAGAAAAAACTCCATCAAAGGCCCCCAAAAGACTTTTCCTCTCCTGCAGGGAAGTCGCTGTTCCCTCATTTACACCCTACCCGGATGAAGTCCGTCAGTCACTGAGTCACACTTGCACCTAACACTGAACCCCCAGCCAGGGGCCCCGAGAAGACCTGGGGACACTGGAGCTCACACTCCTCACACTTGCAGGAGGACTTTCCCACAGGCTTGACCTTGGGGCACGGTCTCCCTCCCTTTCACACCCCCTTGCCATCCTTGCACTCCTAGATGCTGCCGAGACGTCTGTGCAGGCTCCAGACCACAATGGCACATGCGCGTGCCCACCCCAGGCCTCCCCAGAGACGATGGGGAAACTCCTCTGGTTTCCACTTCAGAAGCCGCCAGCAGCCATGAGAACGTGGTTGCTCTTTACGCAGATCTATATACATTTTATTTCCTAAACAGCCTAGTCAGTGCTTAACTCCATCCCTGGCTCCCAGCAGGCTGCAGCAGCAAAACCCTTTCCTGGGTTCATGCACTCCTCCCTTGGGCCCACAGCTTTCCTGTGGCTGCTCTTTCCCTCCTTTCTAAGACAGGGCAACTGCTCTGGGCTGCCTTAAGCAAGGCCCTTCCTACACAGGCCCTCGGTTGGCCCAGTCCCACCTGTAGCATCTGCATCGGAGGGAGGGCATAGTCTCAGGCTGTTTACATCACCCCACTATGGGACATCCCCGTTCCCTCCCCCACAGCTATCAGACAAAGTCACTGTGCTAACGCATGGCTCTGCAGCACTGTGAGAAACCCGGAGAAGTTCACCCAGGACTCACATGCTTTTCCAATCATCAGTGAGAAATGCCATCTTCACACAGGACGCTCATTGCTACTCTGGGCCCCAGCATCAACCTACGAACGCTTGCCCAGGTTCTTAGAGAACTGTCAGACCCACTGGCAGGTCAATGAACACCCTGTCACTTCAGCCCTTCTGCTGGTGACACACGAGGTGACTTCCTCTTGGAGGTGGATGTAGAATGCAATACACCTACAGAGTCCATGTTATCTTAGAACGTTTATGTATTGTTCACCATCGAAGAGAGATCGTTCTAGAAAAATGTCTGTGTCAGCACAGCCTCCTTCCTAACTCTCTCCATTCAGGTCCCTTCTGCCCCACGGAACAAGTGCAAGTCACTGACCTCAGATTCCACCAGGCGGAGCAGTTGTATGGATCCACTGGCATCTGCCAAGCCCAAGAGGGCATGTCCAGCCACCGGGATGTGACACCTGAGGAGAGGGCCCACCGTAAGCACACCAATGTGCCCAAGGCACAGGAGAGCACCGTGCGTCCCTGTAATCACAGTCACGCTTTGCTTAACAGCGGGGCTGTAGTCCACACAAACCCAGCTGGGACAGCCTACTACACACCTTGACGATATGGTACAGCCCATTGTCCTACGCCACAAACCTTACAGCATGTTACTGCAGGCAAGTGTAACACAACAGTAAGTGGTTGTGTACCTAAACATAGAAAAGATACAGTAAGAATACAATATAAAAGATAAAAAACATGGCCGGGCGCGGTGGCTCAAGCCTGTAATCCCAGCACTTTGGGAGGCCGAGGCGGGCGGATCACAAGGTCAGGAGATCGAGACCACAGTGAAACCCCGTCTCTACTAAAAATACAAAAAATTAGCCGGGCGCGGTGGCGGACGCCTGTAGTCCCAGCTACTCAGGAGGCTGAGGCAGGAGAATGGCGGGAACCCGGGAGGCGGAGCTTGCAGTGAGCCGAGATCGCGCCACTGCACTCCAGCCTGGGCAACAGCGTGAGACTCCGTCTCAAAAAAAAAAAAAAAAAAAAGATAAAAAACAGGTGGCTGGGCTGGACATGGTGGCTCACGCCTGTAACCCCAACACTTTGGGAGGCTAAGGCAGGAGGATCACTTGAGACAAGGAGTTCGAAACCAGCCTGAGCAACACGTCAAGACCTTGTTTCTACAAACAAACAAACAAACAAACAAAAATGAGGTGTGGTAAGGCCTGGCACGGTGGCTCACGCCTGTAATCCCAGCACTTTGGGAGGCCGAGGCAGGTGGATCAAGAGGTCAGGAGATCGAGACCATCCTGGCTAACACGGTGAAACCCCGTCTCTACCAAGAATACAAAAATTAGCCAGGCATGGTGGCAGGCGCCTGTAGTCCCAGCTACTCAGGAGGCTGAGGCAGGAGAATGGCGTGAACCCGGGAGGCGGAGCTTGCAGTGAGCCGAGATCACGCCACTGGGCGAGAGAGTGAAAACAAAAAAAGAAAGAGGCATGATGGCACGTACCTGAAGTCTCAGCTACTCGAGAGGCTGAGATGGAGAACTGCTTGAGCCCAGGACTTCAAGGCTGCAGTGAGTTATGATCATGCCACTGCACTCCAGCCTGGGCAACAACAGAACAAGACCCTGTCTCAAAAAAAAAAAAAAAAAAATCAAAAATGATAAAAAGTGGTGCACCTGTATAGGGCAGTTCCACTACGTTAAGGCACCACCATGGTACATGTGCCCCACTGTTGACCAAAACAGAATTATGCCACACATGACTGCATTTAAATCTCAGCTCCAAAAGCGGGTGAGAGCCTACAGCTGTGTTCTCAAACACAAGACGCCCCAGGTTATGAAGTCACAAAACTCCCATCACTTCCTGGCTGCAACATGACAAAGGAAGTAAGCCCCGGGTAAAGCACTCCCCACGTGGGAGGCGGGCAGGACAGCAAAGAAATAAACCCAAAGTTGAGACGCAATGCCTGTCTTGTTGAAGGCATCAAGCATCAGGCTCCCCGATTGCCACTCATGACAAATTCTAGACCCAGGGGGATTATCACAGTTGTACCATTTCATGTCCAGGATCGCAGAAGTATCTTTTCTTTGGATCTCGACCAGAGGCTGAGTAGACTTGTTCTCATTGAAATTGTATAGGTAGAGACGGCCTAAGCGGACTCGAGGCTCCTCAACTTCCATTCTACCCTACAAAAAATGCAGAGGTATTCTCTGATTACCCCAAAGCACCAAGGAATCCAAGGGATGGGAAAAGGGATCCAAGGAACTCAAAAGGTTTGCCGTGACTGACGGAGTGGAATTCTGCCTGGAAGAAACTCTGGTTGTCTGAGCTGGAGAAACGTCTATTTTCCTGCATATGATTAATGACTAGGTGAACACTCCTGGATCCGGCAGAGAGGGCTCCTTCTCAACTGGCCAACAGGGACCAGCTATGGCTAGGGTAACCACAGAACCCAGTTTGCCTGGGACGGTCCTGACTTAGGCCTGTTGTTCAGTGCCCAGTTTAAATTCTAATATGTACCTACCAGAAGTTAAGATATAATTCCCACTTTCTCTTTACTGTAGATTCCATCCATTAGCTTGGGCCACACCTGTATATAGAAGACTTTCTGCTCTGAAGATTCTAATGTTGGCCGGGGGCGGTGGCGCCTGCCCGTGGTCCCAGCTACTCAGCAGGCTGAGGCGGGAGGATGCCCTGAGCGCTGGAGTCCAAGGCTGCACTCCAGCCTGAGTGACAGAGCAAGACCTTATCTCAGAAAAAAAGAATATATATACATTTTTTTTTTTTTTGAGACGGAGTCTTGCTCTATCGCCGAGGCTGGAGTGCAGTGGTGCGAGCTCGGATCACGGTAAGCTCCGCCTCCCGGGTTCACACCATCCTCCTGCCTCAGCCTCCCGAGTAGCTGGGACTACAGGCGCCCGCATCACGCCCGCCCAAAACGTCACTAATTGTTTTTGTATTTTTTAGTAGAGACGGGGTTTCACCGTGTTCGCCAGGATGGTCTCGATCTCCTGACCTCGTGACCCGCCCGCCTCGGCCTCCCAAAGTGCTGGGACTACAGGTGTGAGCCACCGCGCCCGGCCGAGAATAATGTTTTTAAAAAGATTCTAAACTGTTTCTGACCTACGTCCCGGCCAAACGGCCAACATCCCCTCTTCACCTCCTGGGCGATTCTGTGCGCCTCTCGGCCTCAACCTCGTGGCCGGCCCTGCCCTGCCCTGCCCTGCCCTGCCCTCCCGAAGCCGCGACGCGCGCACCTTGCTCTGGGGGTCGGCAGGCGGGTCCTCCGGCCGCCGCAGCTGGTAGGTCCCGCACGCCAGCAGGTGCCTGCAGCCTTGCAGCGGGCACCACTCCACCGAGTCCGCGGTCAGCTCGGTGTCCACCGTCTGCAGGGCGAAAGCGCCCATCATCCAGCCCTCGGGGAAGGCCGCGGAGCCGGCAGTAGAGGCAGGTCGGCAGGGCCGGGCTGGGCACTGCGCGGGGCGGCGACGCCGGGGCCGGCGGGACGAGCTCGGAGGCTCAGGGACACTGTCAGCCCGTGCCGCCTCTCTCGCGACTCCTTCCGGGGCGCCGGGGCGGGACATCCGGCCGGGCCTTGGCAGCCGTGGACGCCCCCGAAAGACCAGGCTCCCGCGCCCCCTGGCGGCCGGCTGACCGCGGCGGGCTTCAGGCGCCAGACGCGCCGCTCCCTGCGGGACCGTGGAGACCGAAGGCTCCTCCACGGAGCAGGTTTGGAGACAGCAGGTTAGTGACAGAGCCTTAGGTTTGAAGCCGCCTTTGCAAAAATTCTATCTGTGAGAAAAACCCCAACAGCGAGCTGCGCTAGCGCACCCTGTGGCGCCCTCCTGTTACTCCTGGGCCATCGGGCCGCGCTGACTTGTTAGGCTAGTTTCCCGGAGAGGCCTTGCCCCGGAGTCAACGCCTTCGTCAAGCTGAGGAGGAGCCCGCGCCGCACGAAGCCCAGCACCCCGAGGCCGCAGGCGCACCCTGCCTGCCTCCTGCGAACCCGCCATGGCAGAGCTGCCCCTCGGAGCCCGCCTTCCAGGGTCTTTGCTTGTCTGACACCCGTGGCTGCATCGGGGCCCCCCAGGAGCGGCTCAGCAGGTGGACGTGGCTATCGGCACCAGTCGCCTGGCCGCCGCCCCCCTCCCCCAAAACTGCCTTTGAAAATACCCCTAACCGGCCGGGCGCGGTGGCTCAAGCCTGTAATCCCAGCACTTTGGGAGGCCGAGTCGGGCGGATCACGAGGTCAGGAGATCGAGACCATCCTGGCTAACACGGTGAAACCCCGTCTCTACTAAAAATACAAAAAAAAAAAAAACTAGCCGGGCGAGGTGGCGGCGCCTGTAGTCCCAGCTACTCGGGAGGCTGAGGCAGGAGAATGGCGGGAACCCGGGAGGCGGAGCTTGCAGTGAGCTGAGATCCGGCCACTGCACTCCAGCCTGGGTGACAGAGCGAGGCTCCGTCTCAAAAAAAAAAAAAAAAAAAAAAAAAAAAAGAAAATACCCCTAACCTCGGAGCTTTGGACAAGATGATCTGAGGACCAACTCCATCTCCCACGTGGCGTGGCCGGCCCGTGTCTATTAATTTTTATTTTTTGAGACGGAGTCTCGCTGTCCCCCGGGCTGGAGTGCAGTGGCACGATCTCAGTTCACTGCAAGCTCCGCCTCCCGGGTTTAAGCCGTTCTCCTGCCTCAGCCTCCTGAGTAGCTGGGATTACGGGCATGTGCCACGATGCCCAGCCATTTTTTGTATTTTTAGTAAGAGATGGGGTTTCACCGTGTTAGCCAGGATGGTCTTGACCTTCTGACCTTGTGATCCACCCGCCTCGGCCTCCCAAAGTGCTGGGATTACAGGCGTGAGCCACCGCATCCGGCCCTAAACTTTATTTCTTTACTGCAATCCATGGTCTGAATGTGTGCAGGGCAGGAAGAACCCCTCGGGCCCTTACAGGTTCAACTGTGCCCCCAAAAAACAATGGACTGAAGACCCCAGCACCTCAGAGCGCATCCTCATTAGCAAACAGGGGCTCTCAGAAGCAGCTGGGTTAAAATGAGGTCACAGGGTAGGCCCTGACCCAGAGGAGCTGGAGTCCGCAGAAGGGAAAGCTGATGCAGACTTGCAGGGCCATCGCTGTGCAGACCACAGGGAGGCAGGCGAGGCCCCTGGCTGGGAGGAGGCGTCCGCTTCTGAGGGCCCTTGCCTGCGCCTTCATCTGAGACTTCAGCCTCCAGAACCTAGAGCATGAATTCTTGCTGCTTCAGGCTGCACAGCTCATGCTGCTTTGTTGCGGCAGCTCCGGGAAGCTAAGACGGACTTGACTGAAATATATGGGTATTCAGCCTCAGGGCTTCAAGCAGGGCTGTGGCTAAAGACATGGCGGGGAGGCCGGGCGCGGTGGCTCACGCCTGTAATCCCAGCGCTTTGGGAGGCCAAGGCGGGCGGATCACAAGGTCAGGAGATCGAGACCACGGTGAAACCCCGTCTCTACTAAAAATACAAAAAATTAGCCGGGCGCGGTTGTGGGCGCCTGTAGTCCCAGCTACTCGGGAGGTTGAGGCAGGAGAATGGCGTGAACCCGGGAGGCGGAGCTTGCAGTGAGCCGAGATCGCGCCACTGCACTCCAGCCTGGGCGACAGAGCAAGACTCCGTCTCAAAAAAAAAAAAAAAAAAAAAAAGACATGGCGGGGAGCCAACAGCTCAGACCGCAGCAGAGACAGAGGCGCAGAAAAGGCTGGCCAGGAAGGCAGCAGGGCGTTCCAAAAGGGCCTCAACCGCACACATCTACGTGGGAGGGAGAGTGGCCAGGTGAAGCATCCCAACGCACCACGCTCCAAACAAGCTTCATAGAAGCAGCCCCACAATGCAGCCATCTGGATGTCCTCATAGTGTCTTAGATACCTGGCTACGAAGACCAAGAAGTTGGGGCCACAGAAGGGGAAATGACCAGAGGACTGGGTATCAGATGAAAGGGAAGCAATGGTGGGGCCCATCCCACCCTCACGGTGCCACCTGCTGGGGTGAGGCCTGGAGGAGCTGCCACATGCAAACCTAGAACCTGCACCACCCCTTCCCCAGCATGGTGTCTCACAGGTGGGAGGCCCTGGGCGCTTCTTCCGGTGCATTTTTCTGATGAATAACTGACTGCCAAACAAGGCAGCCCTGCTGGTCAAGGGATAACATGGCCACTTCCCTAGATGCAGGCAAAGGGACCCCTGCACACCGTGCCTATCCTCAGACTCCATCTGAAAGCAGCTGCCTGAAGGCACTCAGGGCTCCAGGCCTGAAGACTGCCCCAAACCCCAACCTGTTGACCCACCATCTTTAGGGACACATATGTCCCCCTCCCCGACAGCTTTCACCTACTCAGCAAAAAATGTCCCCGACCTTCACAGCAGCAAAGGGGGCTTCTCAGGGCCTGATGTGGGCACATGCAGTTCTCTAAACTCCAGGAAATCCTGCAGAGTTTGTTGCTATCACCCACTTTCAGCAGGCCTGTTCTTCAGGAGCCTCCAGGGTACTGCCTGAGAAGCTACTGGAAGTTTTGCTTACAGACAAAAGGCTAGCCCAGCCAGGAACAGCAATGAGAACACACAGAGCGTCCTGGAACGTGGCAGTGGAGCTCCAAGAGGGGAAAGTGTAACAGGAACCTGCGGGACCAACACAGGGTTGGACCGGACCAGACCAGACAGGTCAGAGTCGGACTGGCCAGGCTTTCAGCTCCCAAGAAGCAAGGCCTTTGGCTGGGCGCACCTGGAGACAGGCAGGATCCCAGCCATGCAGCCTGGCATGTTTCCCTGGGGCGGCTCTATGGGTACAAGATGCTGACCAGCCCTAGACACCTGGGGCTCCCCAAGGAGGGAGGGCTATCGTGGAAGCCCCAGCTCTGCAGAGGGATGGAGAAGTGAGGCCCTCACCTCACCCTGGCTGGCCAGCCCCCTCCACTGTCGGCAGCAGGCCTGCTGAACATGCCCTGTGGATTCTTCTGGGCAGAAGCTGTCACTGCTGAGCTCCCAGCCACTTCACACATAAATCAGGCAAGAACTAACCGATGTCAGGGGCTAGAGCATCCCACTCCCAATGAACCAGTGGGCAGCTGACTTAGCACCTGCACCAGTCCTGCCACAAGACAAGGACAGAGTCTCACTCACGCTCACTGCTGGACTCAGGAAGTTTTGAGTTCACCTGCTCCTGCCCACCAGGAGCAAGGGCACGTCCTCCTGCCCTCACAGGGATTCGGCTCCACTCAAGATGACCTCACCCTCAGCAGCACAAGAGGGAGGCAGAGCAGAGAATGTCCGAGACGCCGGATGATTCCACCCCTTTACTTTGCCTTTGTGGACACAACTCCTGTGCAGGCCGCGCTCCATGGGGCTCCCGTGGCCCAGGGGAGAAGCTTCAGCTACAGGACAGTTTTTAGACACGTGGCCTGACCGTTTGCCATTCGAGGATTACAGCAAATGATTCTATTTGTAATTTCTACCCTTCCCATTGCCTCCCCCCAAAAAAAACTGTACATGAGTTTACAAACATATTAACATATAAATAATGAGAACCGTCCTGGTGGGAGCCTCCTTCGTTGTCTCTGCTGGAGATGAACACTGAGGGGCGCTATAACCACACAGACTGCCTGTGACATCGGGAGTCTCACAGCGGTTGTCCTGGGCCCGCAGCTGGCTTTTTCGGCACCTCCAGGTTCAACCACCAGTCTGTCTCTGCTGTGCCCAGGGTAGAGCCCGGGGGCTGCGAGTGTGTGCGGCTCTCCCGCCCGTCATCGCTCTGGCTCAAGCTCATGCTGGAAGGGACGCTTCCTCTCCCGACAGTGCTTCTTGTGGGCTGGCCAGTCCTTCTGCTGGCACTGGGAGCCACAGTACCGGGCCACCTGGCAGCGCCCACAGATGTTGAACTCCCGGAGCTGAAATACAGAACACTTGTGGCTTCACCGTCATGCCTGGGATGCAGTGTGGGGCAAAGACTGCATCGCACGGACAATCTGACGGACCCAGCAAAACACCATGTACCAAGGCTGGAGGGCCTGGGCCCTGGTCAGGCCAGCACAAGGGCAAAGGGAGACCACCCTGGTGGAAAAGCCCAAGTGGTCTCCGGGGAATGGGGCCCTGCGGTGGGAGGGCAAGACCCCAAACCAAGGCTGGGCTACAGGGTAGAGGTGCCAAGGACCAGGCCGCACTGCAGCACACCCACCTGCTTCTCAATCACCGTGCAGGGAGGGTAGTGGCACTCGTAGTAGGTGCAAGAATTCTCCTCCTCTTCCACTACATCCCCGTTGGCATTATAGTACCGGGTCACATTTAGGACAGGAAACTGTTCTTCTATAGGGTCTGTAGGCAGCTGCTGAATTGCAAGCCAATACAAGCTTTGCTCCCTTAAAGAAAGAAGCAGACACTTCAGTGCACTCTGGCCAAATGGGGCCAGCACACGGCGGGTGATGTGATGAGTCCAGAGAGTGCCATCCTGCCCAGAACACCCGGCCCGAATTCCAGTCTCCTCTGGCGCATCCCTGCTGCATGTGCTTTTCACCACCTGACAGTAAATACTGTGTCTCGTCTTCCCACTCACCCATAAGCACCGCCTCATCTGTCACCCTGTCCCCAGCACCTGGGACTGATAGGCACACAGTAGGCAGGAGGCAGTGCCCAGGTCAGGCCCCTGCACAAAGCAAGGCAGCCCCTCTCCTTGCCCTTGACCTGCAGAGGTGCCCATTACTGCCCCGTCGGTCCACCTCCCCTTCCATGCTGGGAGCTGCCCTACGTTCATCTGTACACGTGTTGTACAGAACAGGCCCTGGAGCGAGCACTGGCTGCTCAGAGGCAAGTGTGGGCAGCCCCAGCCCTGCTGCATCACAGAGTAAAGGAGCTGCATAAACCACCCCAACAACCCTGTTCTCTGAGGCCAGACCCTGAGGAGACTTGGTTAAAAGGTGGAAGGATCAGGACACGGGAAGATGTTAGTGAGGTCCCACCGGACAGAGGCAAGTTTCAGACACTGCTGGCTTCTGAAGACAGAAAAGGAAACACCCCTTTGCCAACAGGCCCCTTTTGTGGGGGCTGAGCTGACACAGTGCCAGGAAAGGAGAGCAACAGCCCAGGCCTGACAAAGACAGGGTGACCCCATCACAAAGAGCCAGACCACAGGGAGGCCACAAACTGGGATCCAGAAGGACGCACAGCACCCAGCCATTCAGGACGTCAGGCCCACACTGGCTAGCTGACTTCTGCTTGTGGCCTGGGGTGCTGACCCAGCACAAGAGGCCCAATACCTGCTGGGTTCTAAAACCCCATGTTGGCAAACCAAAGATGGCCCAGCCTGATCAGTCCTGAGCCACCGCAGGCCACCTCCTGCAGCAGGGGGTTGTATGAGGCCGCAGCCTTGGCGCAACTCATCCTGCCGTGCCCACGGAGAATGGGCTGACCAAGAGCATCAGCTCAACACCCCCTTTCCAAACAGCTATTCTTAACGGCAGTTATCTCCCCTCCTGACTAGGAAGGGTGCTGAGAGGATTCAAGGTAACATTCAGTCACAGGCTGGCCGGACCCTGAGTCTTATTGACAACCAGCTGAAATGACCTGTACCACGGCAGGGACAGATGACATCACCTGGTGGAGTGGTGGGCAGTGGGGGAACTTGTGGAGTCGGGGAGGGCCCATCCCAGCATCAACACTGAGCATGTATCAATGTGGGACAACGCAGGAGGAGATGCTACGGATGCTGCTTTGCCTGCCACGCACTCCTTCCCCTTCCCGTGGATGACACAACTCTGACTTCATGTAGAGAAGTGATTCAAAGCATGCTAACTACAGTTCATCCCAGGGCTTCCCCAGACACCACCAGAACAGGGTGCCTGCTTCACTCCACAGGTGCTGGGTAGTGCGCATGCCGCCTCTCGGAGAGGAGCCGGGAGTGGGGGCGCAGAGCTGGAGGCAGCAGCATCCCTGGCTCTCCACATTTCAGTCAGGATACCAAAACGTACCCTATTTTTGTTTCAGCCAAATTGAGCTGTTTCTGTTTCTTGCAACCCAAAGTTCCGGCTAACATAATCCCCGAAAGAAAAAAAAATCCCATCCAACAATCATAAGAGGATTGGCGTCACTCACAAGCAGTATGAGAGAAGGGTCAAAACTCTAATATTGGCCGGGCGCGGTGGCTCACGCCTGTAATCCCAGCACTTTGGGAGGCCGAGACGGGTGGATCACGAGGTCAGGAGATCGAGACCATCCTGGCTAACACGGTGAAACCCCGTCTCTACTAAAAAATACAAAAAACTAGCCGGGCGAGGTGGCGGGCGCCTGTAGTCCCAGCTACTCGGGAGGCTGAGGCCGGAGAATGGCGTGAACCCGGGAGGCGGAGCTTGCAGTGAGCTGAGATCCGGCCACCGCACTCCAGCCTGGGTGACAGAGCGAGACTCCGTCTCAAAAAAAAAAAACAAAAACAAACAAAAACAACAAAAAAAAAACTCTAATATTAGAGCAGGGACCGGGCATGGTGGTGCACACCCGTTATCTCAGCTACTCAAAAGGCTGAGGCGGGGCCAGGCATGGTGGCTCACACCTGTAATCCCAGCACTGTGGGAGGCTGAGGCAGGCGGATCATCTGAGGTCAAGAGTTCAAGACAGCCTGGCCAACATGCCGAAATCCTGTCTCTACTAAAAATACAAACGTTAGCCAGGCGTGGTGGCGGGCACCTGTAGTCCCAGCTACTAGGAAAGCTGAGGCAGAACTGCTTGAACCAGGCAGGCAGAAGCTGCAGCGAGCCAAGATCGCGCCACTGCACTCCAGCCTGGGCGACGGAGCCAAACTCCATCTCAAAAAAAAAAAAAAAAAAAAAAAAAAGGCCGGGCGCGGTGGCTCAAGCCTGTAATCCCAGCACTTTGGGAGGCCGAGACGGGCGCATCACGAGGTCAGGAAATCGAGACCATCCTGGCTAACACGGTGAAACCCCGTCTCTACTAAAAAATGCAAAAAACTAGCCGGGCGAGGTGTTGGGCGCCTGTAGTCCCAGTTACTCGGGAGGCTGAGGCAGGAGAATGGCGTAAATCCCGGAGGCGGAGCTTGCAGTGAGCTGAGATCCGGCCACTGCAATCCAGCCTGGGGGACAGAGCGAGACTCCGTCTCAAAAAAAAAAAAAAAAAAAGTGCTGAGGCAGGAGGATTTCCTGAAGCCAGGAGTTTGAGACCAGCCTGGGCAACACAGTGAGACCCATCTGTAAAATTAATTAATTACATTAAATAAACAGAGCAGGGAACAAAACCACTAGCCCAACAAGAACGAGAGACACCGCAGGCTCTGCCTTCATCCTGAGAGGCCCAGTGAGGAGGGGATGGGGGAGACTTGCAGGACTCCCTCCAGGGTGGCAGGAACAGCAGTTTGGGGGTGGCATTTTGGAGACCTGGGGACTGTCCCCACATCACCAACCAGTGTCTCAGGTGCTCCCACTGTTTCCACCTCGGCTGCACGGGGCTCTAGCATGACCCTGAGGTGACAACTGCAAAGATTCTACCCACAGCCACCAACCATCACCAAGCCCAAAACACTAAACCTTACCAGCGTTGCTGATAACCATCTGCTAGGGCAGTTCGCACTGCTTGCACCAGGAAAGGCTGCCCAGAGGCTTGAGGACATGCCCAGAAGCCCCAGGGCGACTGGGGAACATGTCAGCGAAGCGTGTGTGGCTGGGGACCCTCTGGCTCATCTGAGTTCCCAACCCCCATCCTGCTGGTCCCTCGGCTCTTCCCAAGGACTCCATGAAGTTCACAGCCTGGCTGATTCTAGGGCCAGCAGGAACTGCCCTCCCACGTGGGAAGCCCATGCAAAGCACTGCTTTCAGGATCACAGGCAAGTGGGGGGCCAAGGGCTGAGCCCTGAACCACACATTCTCTGCTTTAAACTTTTGCTTAACGAAAACCGTTTAGCAAAAGAACACAACAAAAAGACCCATCTGTGTGCACAGAAAGGAATCCTGAGGTGAGGAGAGAAGGGAGGAATCCTGAGGTGAGCAGAGAAGGGAGGATTCCTGAGGTGAGGAGAGAAGGGAAGAATCCTGAGGTGAGGAGAGAAGGAAGAAATCCTGAGGTGAGGAGAGAAGGGAAGAATCCTGGGGTGAGAAGGAAGGAATTCTGAGGTGAGGAGAGAAGGAAAGAATCTTGAGGTGAGGAGAGAAGGGAGGAATCCTGAGGTGAGGAGAGAAGGGAGGAATCCTGAGGTGAGGAGAGAAGGAAGGAATCCTGGGGTGAGGAGAGAAGGAAGGAATCCTGGGGTGAGGAGAGAAGGGAGGAATCCTGGGGTGAGGAGAGAAGGGAGGAATCCTGAGGTGAGCAGAGAAGGGAGGATTCCTGAGGTGAGCAGAGAAGGAAGGAATCCTGAGGTGAGGAAAGAAGGAAGGAATCCTGAGGTGAGGAGAGAAGGGAGGAATATTGGGGTGAGGAGAGAAGGAAGGAATCCTGAGGTGAGGAGAGAAGGAAGGAATCCTGAGGTGAGCAGAGAAGGGAGGATTCCTGAGGTGAGCAGAGAAGGAAGGAATCCTGAGGTGAGGAGAGAAGGAAGGAATCCTGAGGTGAGGAGAGAAGGGAGGAATATTGGGGTGAGGAGAGAAGGAATTCTGAGGTGAGGAGAGAAGGAAAGAATCTTGAGGTGAGGAGAGAAGGGAGGAATCCTGAGGTGAGGAGAGAAGGGAGGAATCCTGAGGTGAGGAGAGAAGGGAGGAATCCTGAGGTGAGGAGAGAAGGGAGGAATCCTGAGGTGAGGAGAGAAGAATCCTGAGGTGAGGAGAGAAGGGAGGAATCTTGAGGTGAGCAGAGAAGAATCCTGAGATGAGGAGAGAAGAATCCTGAAGTGAGGAGAGAAGGGAGGAATCCTGGGGTGAGGATAGAAGGGAGGAATCCTGAGGTGAGGAGAGAGGAATCCTGAGATGAGGAGAGAAGAATCCTGAGGTGAGGAGAGAAGGGAGGAATCCTGGGGTGAGGAGAGAAGGGAGGAATCCTGGGGTGAGGAGAGAAGGGAGGAATCCTGAGGTGAGGAGAGAAGGGAGGAATCCTGAGGTGAGGAGAGAAGGGAGGAATCCTGGGGTGAGGAGAGAAGGGAGGAATCCTGGGGTGAGGAGAGAAGGGAGGAATCCTGAGGTGAGGAGAGAAGGGAGGAATCCTGGGGTGAGGAGAGAAGGGAGGAATCCTGGGGTGAGGAGAGAAGGGAGGAATCCTGGGGTGAGGAGAGAAGGGAGGAATCCTGGGGTGAGGAGAGAAGGGAGGAATCCTGGGGTGAGGAGAGAAGGGAGGAATCCTGGGGTGAGGAGAGAAGGGAGGAATCCTGGGGTGAGGAGAGAAGGGAGGAATCCTGGGGTGAGGAGAGAAGGGAGGAATCCTGGGGTGAGGAGAGAAGGGAGGAATCCTGGAGTGAGGAGAGAGGAATCCTGAGTTGAGAAGAGAATCCTGAGGTGAGGAGAGAAGAATCCTGAGGTGAGGAGAGAAGGGAGGAATCTTGGGGTGAGGAGAGAAGGGAGGAATCCTGAGGTGAGGAAAGAAGAGAGGAATCCTGGGGTGAGAAGGGAGGAATCCTGAGTTGAGCAGAGAAGAATCCTGAGGTGAGGAGAGAAGGGAGGAATCTTGGGGTGAGGAGAGAAGGGGGGAATCCTGAGGTGAGAAGGCTGATGCCTCCCGGGGTGTGGGGCACAAGCCCTGCTCACACCGAGTCCCAGCGCGGGCCCTGCCCTGGAGCAGGCAGCCCTTCTCCCCACTTTGTCATGCCAGCTAAAGGGAGGTTCCCAGAGCCAATTATCAGAAGAGCAATGCAAAAACACATACCAAGATCCTTCACGCTCCCATAAAGAAAAGGAGGATTCCACACTTTGGGGAAAAACAATGAAAGTCCCAAAACACACAGAAGCATCAGGGCTCAGAGGAGGAACACGAGACCCTCTTGGAAACAAGAGCTTTGGAGGTGGCCCTCCTCAAAAGGCACCTCTGCCAGCATCACCGGGCCCTGAGAAGACTCACCTCTGTTTGCTGGAGGTCTCTTCAGCCTTGGGCCGCCAGCCCCACGGCACCAGCTGCAGGTTGTCCAGGCGATTGTCCACAGTCACAGCGTTGAGGTGTACCACCTGGAAGCCCGGGGCCACGCCCCCCCGGTGCCGCTCCCTAGAAACAGACAGCAAACCCTGCATCTAACCCTGCATCGCTGCCTCCCACCCTCACAGATAACCAAAATCCTCCAGGAAGAAACGTCAGCCATGTGATCTGATCAGGCCCCTGCCCCTCTGGAGGAGGGTACCTCAGGCGGAAGCTGCCAAGAGAAACCCAAGCACCTGATCTGTGGCCCAAACAGGACAGGGATACAGGGAGGACCTGGGCCCTGGACTTCGGAGCACGGACAGCCAAGGGTGGAACGTAAAACCACCTGAGCAGATGGCCTGCAGACAGCTCCCCATCTGAGTGGTCCCCACCATGCACACCAGGGGGCTCAGCAAAAAACCAGCAAGGGGAGCAACCACCGTCCCTCCAGAGGCCGCCAGTCCCGGGCAAGCTTCCAGCAGAAAGTCCACTTGGTGTTTGAAGCGTAACATACAAATCATTCATTCCTTTGAGTTAGTGGCAAAGCACACAAAAATAACTGCGAGATTCAGGGAAGGCAAGGCAGGGCCTCAGTGGGGCAGGGGGCTCCAGGCGCCCTGTGCCATCGGAGCTCACCCAGGAGCCCAGTGGCAGGGGGCAGAGGCAGCTTGGAAACACCCACCACAGCAGTTCATGAAGGAGTCTCCCAGAGCCCCTTCCTCGGTTCTTGTCAAAGGCATAGGCAAATATCTTAGCACCATTTCCATCTGCATCCACTTCCATTCGGGCCTGAGAAGGAACAAGGGAAAGAGCTGTTAAAAAGCCTCCAATTCTCAGCAACACTTCAATTCCCTCTTAGAAAAACCAAGTGAAACAAGCAAGCCAGAGGGACAAATGCCAGCCCTGTCCCTGAGACCCTGGGGAGTGCAGAGCCTCCCATAGGCACATGGCTCCCAGGGGCCAGCGTGGCCCACCACCACTCTGTCTATCCAGGCAAGAAACACTCACAAACAACTCTGCAAAATACAATGAACATAGACAAATACGTTTTCCTACCCTTGAAAAAAGCCCACAGTGCAGTGAGATAGAGAAACCCCTGGACAAGTCACTACTGTGAATGTGTGGGGCACAGAGATAAAGTGTGGTGAGGGAGGCCAAGCTCAGTGGCAGGAACGGAAGCTGGGAAGAGGCAGGAAGACCCCATGAGAGCAGAGAATGGGAGGCAGCTGGGCAGCCAGGAGGGGCTAGCGCAGGCTCAGCAGGTGGCAAGCTCTAAGGAACAAGGTCTTCGAGCTAACAGACATGGTCCACGTGACACAATCGCAAACGTGAGAACATTCCATTTGCTTTCAAGAAGAGCTAACAGCTGAGGTGAAAGTGAGGAAAGACCAGTGTTGCCAAGCCGCGTGGGCCACAGTGGGAGCAACAGCCAGGTTCTGCGGGGCCACGGCTCCATGTGGGGCTGAGGGCTCAGGGCTCACAGCCAGCCCCAGATGTCCACTTGTGGGGCCACCTGCTCTTGCAGCACAGGGGAGGGCTCGCTCCTCGTGACCCTCCTGGGCACTGACCACAAGCATTAAGGGAAGGAACAGGCATCCTTACTTACCTCAAAGGAGTAGCTTTCCACCAGCGGGATGTCCTGCTCATCGATCAGCGTGTATTTGGTCTGAAAGTTAACCACATGTTTCAAATCATTACATTTGAGATCTGCGTGAGGTGCAGTAACCTTATAACCAGAACAGGCAGGAGCCTGTTGCATTTTCCTGTGAAGTGGAAAGTAACCACAGGCCTCTTCAGACCAAGACAGCTCAGCACACGGGGGCCTCATTCCACCATCTGGGGTGGTGCAGTCTACGCCAAAACACAGGGAGACTGGTTAAAAGATAGCAGACCACTTTCATCTGCTCCAGAGGAGCTGGTATCAGGCCTCATCCTCGCAGGCCTAACCCCAACAGTGGCACGGAACATTTAACACACCAATAAACCTAGGCAGAAACGGTTTCACTGAGCTGAGGGAGGGTCCAGGGCTGAGGCAGAAGAGCCAGAAGGTTTTGATTAGGGTGTGTTTATTAAGCTGAGCTGCTCATTGAATTGCCCTTTTCAGTTTTTTGTCCACCTGAAATGTTCCAAAGAAAAGCTGTAAGGGATGACAATGTCATCGGTGGTGGAATCAGAAGGGGTCTCAGGTCTCTGACCTGACTGGGGAGCCCACCCTTCCCTGGTGGAAAAAAGCCTCCTCCCCAGCAGGCCCTGCCTATGCTCTTGCAGCAGGGGCAGGAAACAGGAACAGGTCCCAGAACGGGCCAGTCTCCCTCTTGGCAGTTTTTCTTCTGGGATCTGAACCTGTTTTACCTGACGCCGCCTGACACTGCCTCCGCTCCTCTCTCCCACCAGAAGCTGCAGCCGCTGGTGACGGCAACAGGGCTCCCATCCGGGTAAGGACCCCGGCTGGTGCAGCTGCACAGGTGGCTCCGGGAAACCGCCAAGCCTCAGTGCCCACAGGTGCCATGGAATCCCCAGCCTCAAACGTGCAGCGTGGGGGCCAGGTAAGAAGAGAAATCGAGGAAGGCCCTGAGTCTGCATCAGGGCCCAGGCTTCTTCCTCTCTGCTCTGAGCCCGAGGCTCAGCCTAACCTGGCCAACCCCTGGCAGCGTTAAAACGAGCCCGAAGCCCTGCTGAGAACTGGGAGGCAGAGAAGAGCCCACACCAGACCCGCCTCGGCGAGAGGTGTGGAGGTGGCGCTGCCTCGGAAAGGGCGCTGTGTTTAAACCGTGTGGCCGCACCGGCAGCCCGGACGCCGCGCTAGGCCCCGGCTCCCCGACACCACGGGGAGGGCTCCGGGAGAACGCGGCCGGGCTCGAGCCACGCATCTCCGCGCCCGGCTCGGGACAGGGCCGTGGCCTCCGCCTCCGGCAGGGCAGGGCCGAGGGCGGCCAGGTGCGCCCCGCAGCCGAGGGGTGCGCGCCCGCCGGCCTGCGAGAGGAAGCTGCACCCGCGCGGGGCCAGCAGCCGGGCCCGCGCAGCGTCCCCCGGCCCGCTGGGGCCCATCCCGGGCTCCGCGCCCCCGCCCCGGCCGCCGCCCGCACAACCGCCCCCGGCCCCGGCCCCCGGCCCCGCGCGGAGGCCAGGACGGGCGAGACGGGCCGGGCCGCGGGCTCCGCGCCGCTCACCTTCCCGGCCACCCGGCCGAGCCGCACGATACCCAATTTGAAGTCGGTCATGGCCGGGCCTGCGCTCTCGGCCGGCAGCGCCGCTCCCTCGGGAGGCGCCGGGCGGGGGCCGGGGCGAGGCCGCGGCGCGCCGGGGCAGGACGGGACCGGAGCCGGGGTCGGGGTAGCAGCCAGGCGGGCCCCGGGCGGGACGAGGCTGGGCCGGGCTCGGGCCTCCGCCGCCGCCTCGCGCCCGCCGGACCTGCCACGCGCCGCCGCCGCTGCCGCCGCCACCGCGCGCACCACAGCGAGCGGAGCGGAGGGGCGGGGCGCAGCCCGGGACACACCCCCCGGCCCGCCGCCGCTCGGCCAATCGCTAGGCGCGCACGGCGCCGGCCGGAGCGCGCCGCGCCGCAGCAACCAATGGGAGGAGGGCGAGTGCGCCGGCGCTCTGGGGAGCGGGGCGAGCGCGGGGGAGGGGCGAGGTCGGGGGCGGTGCCTGCGCGCGCCGACGTCAGTTTCGCGGGAAGCTTTGTGCGGGCCGCCGCGCTGCTCCTGGAGGGGCCGTGCGGAGCGCGGCTGGGGACTCGCGCCGGGTCTGTGGCGCTCTGCGAGCTGGACGCCCTTCTCCTCCCTTGCAGTGGCCCTCGTAAGCTGCTTCCCGCCGCCGTCCTGGCCCCAAGCGCGGAAGGAGGAGGCGGACGGAGCGCGTGTGGGGCCCGCTGGGTGGGCGGGGAGCGGGCCAGGCGGGCTAGGAAGAGGCCGTTGCCGCGGGACGCGGGTGCTCCTGGAGAGACCGCGGACGCCCGGCCCACGCGACCCGGAGGGTGCGGCCTCCCCCGCAGCCTTTTCCGAGCCGCCGGCTCCTCAGCCCCGGGGGCGGCTGACCGCCGGAGCAGCCTGGTCCAGGGCGTCTGGAAACGGAACTCCAGTGAGGCCGGTTGGGCTCCGCGGGAATGCCGAGGCCCGCTCAGGGAGGGACTGGGTACGCCGTGGTGGGCAGCGTGGCCTCCCCTGCAGCCTGGAGCGAACGGGGCTAGGTCCTGTGTCCTGCTCCGCCGGTGTCCGGTCACCCGCGGGGAGGCCTCACCCTGCCGCAAGGGGCGACTCTGCCACCTGAGGAGCTGCCCGGGCCCCTTTCTGGCTTGCTGCGTTCTGTTTTCTTTTCTTTTTTTTTTTTTTTTTGAGACAGTTTTGCTCTGTCACCCAGGCTAGAGTGCAGTGGCACGTCCCCGGCTCACTGCAGCCTCTGCCTCTCGGGTTCAAGCGATTCTCCTGGCTCAGCCCTCAGGTAGCTGGGATTACAGGCACGCGCCACCATGTCTGGCTAATTTTTGTGTTTTTAGTAGAGACGAGGTTTTGCCATGTTGGCCAGGCTGGTCTCGAGGTGATCTGCCCACGTCTGCCTCCCAAAGTGCTGAGATTACAGGTGTGAGCCACCGTGCCCCAGCCTGCAAAGGGTGTTCATGAGTGAGCCCAGACGTTCCATCTCTGGGTCCCCTGGTACTTACCAGTACCCCAGACACCCTAGAGGAGAGAAGGGGATAATGAGTCCTGGCCTGCCTGAGACACACATTGGGGTTCAGGCTGGGCCTTGCTCAAAACATACCTGTCCGGCCGGGCGCAGTGGCTCACACCTGTAATCCCAGCACTTTGGGAGGCTGAGGCGGGCGGATCACGAAGTCAGGAGATCGAGACCATCCTAGCTAGTATGGCGAAACCCCGTCTGTACTAAAAATAGAAAAAATTAGTCAGGCGTCCGCCTGTAGTCCCAGCTACTCGGGAGGCTGAGGCAGGAGAATGGCTGTACCTGGGAGGCGGAGCTTGCAGTAAGCCGAGATGGTGCCACTGCACTCCAGCCTAGGCCACAGAGTGAGACTCCCTCTCAAAAAAAAAAAAAAAAGTACTTGTCCTACCAACCTCAGCCTCTTGGAGTTGCGAGGGTGTGATGAGATTATGAGCAACTGCTTTGTGAAAAGAAGTGGAGCTTGGTGGGTGCTCCCTAGGGTAGTTGAAAAGCACTGGTGTCATAGTCCAGGTTCCCCCAGAGATTGACTTGAAGCGGATTCGAGTCTAAATTTTGTCCGGGTGTGGTGGCTAACACCTGTAATCCCAGCACTTTGGGAGGCCGAGGCAAGTGGATCACCTGAGGTCAGGAGTTCAAAACCAGCTTGGCCAACAGGGTGAAACCCCACTTCTACTAAAAATACAAAAATTAGCCGATGTGGTGGCACACACTTATAATCCCAGCTACTCGGGAGGCTGAGGCAGGAGAATCGCTTGAACCCGGGAGGCGGAGGTTGCAGTGAGCCAGGATTGTACCACCATACTCCAGTCTGGGCAACAGAGTGAAACTCTGTCTCAAAAAAAAAAAAGTCCAATTTGTTAGCTTGAGGGAAGATCCCAGGAGACACCAGCAGGAGAGTGGGGGTATGAGGCAGAGAAGGGGGTGCTACCAGTCCAGTTCCTGTGGCAGCAGGTCATGTAGGAACCATTCTCAGAGTCCCTTCCCGGGGGCCAGGGGAGCCAAGGCATTCCCCCCTCACCCTGCTGCAGGGGGACCCAGCATTCCCCCCTCACCTTGCAGTCATTGGTTGGAGGCTGCTCCTGGCAAGGTAACTTCTTGACTCCAAAGCTGAGAAAGACCTGCAGGTGTTGACACAGAGCAGCTGGCTTGGGAACTCATACCTGGCGCAACACAAGCCTTTATCTACACATTGTACCCAAGTATGAATGTGACCCCTGCCTCTGTGTCCTGTGAGGTGGAATTATGTAACGCTGGGGCGGCACTTCCTCTCACTGCAGCATCCCTCTCCCATGGGCAGGCACCTTAAAAAGAAGCCCTTGACTCCCCCATCCCCTTCCAGCCACTGCCTCATTTTCCTGCTTCCCATCGCAGCAAAAGTTCTTAACAGATTGTCTGTACTTGGCATCTGCTCTCCTAGTTAATTCATTTTCTTTTTTTTTTTTTTTTTTTTGAGACGGAGTCTCGCTTTGTAGTCCAGGCTGGAGTGCAGTGGCCGGATCTCAGCTCACTGCAAGCTCCGCCTCCCGGGTTTACGCCATTCTCCTGCCTCAGCCTCCCGAGTAGCTGGGACTACAGGCACCCGCCACCTCGCCCGGCTAGTTTTTTGCATTTTTTAGTAGAGACGGGGTTTCACCGTGTTAGCCAGGATGGTCTCGATCTCCTGACCTCGTGATCCGCCCGTCTCGGCCTCCCAAAGTGCTGGGAGTTAATTCATTTTCTATCACTTTATAACAACCACAAAAGAGCACCCATTTATTATCTCACAGTTCTGTGCGTTAGAAGTGCAGGTGGTTTGGTGGCTTCTCTGCTGCAGGTCTCAGGGCTGAAATCGGGGTGTCGGCTGCTTCAGCTTTTAGCAGGAGCCCTAGGGGAGACCCGGGCTACAGGCTCCTTCAGGTTGTTGACATTCACCTCCACGTGGTTGTGTGAGGTCTCCATTTGCTGGCTGCTGGCCCGGGGTTGTTCTCAGCTTCTAGAGGTCACTCGCATCTTCAACACTAGCAAGACTTTTTTTTTTTTTAGACAGAGTCTGGCTCTGTCACCCAGGCTGGACTGCAGTGGTATGATCTCGGGTCACTGCCACCTCCGCCTCCCGGGTTCAAGTGATTCTCCTGCCTCAGCTTCCCGAATAGCTGGGACTATAGGCGCCTGCCACCATGCCCAGCTAAATTTTGTATTTTTAGTAGACATGGTTTCACCATGCTGGCCAGGCTGGTCTTGAACTCCTGACTTCAAGTGATCTGCCCACCTCGGCCTCCCAAAATGCTGGGATTACAGGTGTGAGCATTTGCACCTGGCCAAAGCCAGCCTTTCTAGTACTTCACATCTTTGATCCTTTCTGTCCCATTTCTCCCACCTTCAGCTGGAGAAGGCTTTATGCCTTTAAGTGTTCCTGTGATTAGATTGGGTCCACCCAGATAAACAGGATAATCTCCCTATTTTAAGGTCACTAATTGGCAACCTACTTACATCTGCAAAGTCCCTTTTGCTATGTAACATAAAGTTACAGGTGCAGGCGTGAGGGCGTGACATCCTTGCGGGGCATTCTGCCTACCACCCAAGTCTGGCAGCCTACTCCAGCTGGGCTTTCGCCCCCCCCCCACCGCTGAAACTGCTGCACACCAATGAACAAAATCAGTGAAAGCCCCTGCTCATACTCGAGTGAGGCGGGCAGAACGTACATGTAATGAGGAACCGTACGCCGTGTTGGCGAGGGAGAAATGCAATGGGGAGAACAAGTCCATCGCCATAAGGCGGTCAGAGGTCCTGGTGCAGGGGTGGGCAGAGCCATCCTCTTAGAAAACAGCATTGGAACACGCAGTGGAAGGAGATGGAGTGAGCCGTGTGGCTATACAGGGCAGAACGTTCTTGGCAGAAGGAACAGCCCGTGCAAAGGCCCTAAACTGGGACATATCTGGCGTGTTTGAAAATGGAGAGGTGGGGCTGGGTGCGGTGGCTCACTTTGGGAGGCCGAGGTAGGTGGATCACTTGAGGCCAGGAGTTCTACACCAGCCTGGCCAACAGGGCAAAACCCTGTCTCTACTAAAAATACAAAACTTAGCCAGGTGTGGTGGCGGCGCCTGTAATCCCAGCTACTCAGGAGGCTGAGGCAGGAGAATCGCTTGAACCCAGGAGGTGGAGGTTGCAGTGAGCTGAGATCGCGCCATAGCACTCCAGCCTGGGTGACAGAGCGAGACTCTGTCAAGAAAGAAAATGGATGGCTTGAACCCGGGAGGCGGAGCTTGCAGTGAGTCTAGATCACGCCACTGCATTCCAGCCTGGGCGACAGAGCAAGACTCTGTCTCAAAAAAAAAGAGAAAGAAAATGGAGAGGTGGCCGATGCACTGGCCGCTGAGAAGCAGCAGCATGTGGGGTGGCTGGAGGGGCGGCAAGTACAGGATGAGCATTCAGGTCCGAAATCTGAGATGCTGCAAAATCTGAACCTTGTAAGCACTGACATGACACTCAAACGAAGTGCTCATTGGAGCATTTTGGATTTTGGATATGGAATGCTCAACCAGGCAAGTATAATGCAGATAGTCCAAAATCCAAAATCTGAAACACTTCTGGTCCTGAGCATTTTGGATAAGGAACACTCCACCTGTCCTGGCAAGTGGTGATGATGTTTGGATGTGTGGTGGAGGGGTGTGTATGTCAGGATGGGCCTGGGTATGCTGCAGTAACAACCCCAAGTTCTCAGTGGCTTAGCCAAATAAAAATGTGTTACTCACTTATGCTACATGTTAAGGTTACAAGGCAGTTGACTGTATAAGTAG